TGAAAAAATTAAGTTTAAAAATGAGTAGATTATTCAGATCTAACTCTATGGCTAGCTCATCTAGTTCTTCATTTAGTACTATACCTAATATAGTAAATGAGGAAGAAGAAGAACACCATGAGTCACAAGTTGACTGGAGTGGATGAAATATTCCAAACGTATCCCATCGAAATATCTATAAGACGAGTTGGGTTCCAAAAGCAGTCATGCATTGATAGTATATCCTATAGATAAGTACTAGAGATTGAGTCTCTTTTACCAGTTTGGTAATTTGACCTGATAATTTTATACCTAAGGTTAAGGCCATAGGTGTATTTTTACAACTAAGACTAAGGGTAAAATCTGGAAAGCAGTTGAAATAAATTGGTCCGTTATGAAGACCAGTCTCCATTATTCCTAAAATGCCAGGTGCATAGTCTATGAATCTAGCATCTCTTAGGGTTAATAGAGCTGCTGCATCTTTACCTGGTGACATCAATGGTTTAATTGCTACTTGACTAAATCAAGGTGTATAAAATTAAAACTTTTTTTCCTATATTTTTATAGGGTTTTTTACTAATTAATTGACAAGTTTCTTCCTCTTTACTGAGAGCATAAACTTGTTCAATTATTTTTACTTGAAGTTCTGAGTTGAATGCTTTTGGAATCCAACTCGTCTTATACATATATTGTTCTCCTTGTTTTCAATTTTTTTGACTCCAATCTCATTTTTTCTAAAATTTAGAGAACAAAAATGCTAAACAAACAAGTTTTAGGTGTTTTTAAAATTTTAAAAACAAAAATCTGTTTTCGAAATGATGACCAAACATGACCTAAATATGTATGTATACTACAATTTTTATTTTTTTTTGCTACAGATTATTCATACTATAGTTTTTTCGAGCTTATCGATGAGTCATTGTGGTTTGAGTTGGGTTCTGAGACCTCTAAATTATCAAAGATCATCCTTAATCACTGAACCAGTTCAAAGAATTATGTATGTATACATTTGTAAAGGAAACATGTGGACAAATTAAAATTAGTTTTTGTATCTCTAAGACAATAGAGATACCACATGACCTCATCTTTATATTATTAAGCTCCCAACCAATCGATACATTTTAATACTTGATGAGTAGCTCCAATGTTTCTTAATTATCAATTTTTTTTTTAATTCACAATGAGGTATTTTTCCAATTCATAAGGAGACTAGTGAATGGGACTCATTAAACGACGAATCAAAATTAAATTTAGGTTTAAGTTTGCATGTTTCTTTGAGTTCACTCATCGCGATTCATTTTAATTTGGGTAAATCAAATAAATACCCATTAGATATCATCTTTGTTTTAAATTACCCCCTATACTATTTATTCTCCTAATTTATCTCTTAAACTATATAATTTATTTGAATCAACCTCTTCTGTTAAGATTAACTATTAAATGAGAGAAATTCTCGTTAGTTTATCTCATTTAACACTTAATTTAAAGAAAATTTGTCTTATTTATTAGTTAGTCCTAACGAAAAGGGGTCAATTAAAAAAAATTACATATTATAGGGGGCAAATGGGGATAATTGATAGTTCATGGAATAATTTAAAATAAGGCTATAGTTCAAGGGGTATTTATGAGATTTACCCTTTCAATTTTATGGCATGAGCTATGGTTATCACATTTTGATCATGTTCAATTAATCAAGAATTATTATTTGAGCTAGTGGTCTAGTGAGAAGTTGTACACGTTTAGGGTTATCTTTCACTCTCATATGGTTATCAAGTAGGATTTGATTCACAGAAATAACGTGATTTGCTATTTGATTTTGGTGGTGTTGTAGCTCCTCTGTTAAGATTAACTATTAAATGAGAGAAATTCTCGTTAGTTTATCTCATTTAACACTTAATTTAAAGAAAATTTGTCTTATTTATTAGTTAGTCCTAACGAAAAGGGGTCAATTAAAAAAAATTACATATTATAGGGGGCAAATGGGGATAATTGATAGTTCATGGAATAATTTAAAATAAGGCTATAGTTCAGGGGGTATTTATGAGATTTACCCTTTCAATTTTATGGCATGAGCTATGGTTATTACATTTTGATCATGTTCAATTAATCAAGAATTATTATTTGAGCTAGTGGTCTAGTGAGAAGTTGTACACGTTTAGGGTTATCTTTCACTCTCATATGGTTATCAAGTAGGATTTGATTCACAGAAATAACGTGATTTGCTATTTGATTTTGGTGGTGTTGTAGCTCTTCTGTTAAGATTAACTATTAAATGAGAGAAATTCTCGTTAGTTTATCTCATTTAACACTTAATTTAAAGAAAATTTGTCTTATTTATTAGTTAGTCCTAACGAAAAGGGGTCAATTAAAAAAAATTACATATTATAGGGGGCAAATGGGGATAATTGATAGTTCATGGAATAATTTAAAATAAGGCTATAGTTCAAGGGGTATTTATGAGATTTACCCTTTCAATTTTATGGCATGAGCTATGGTTATTACATTTTGATCATGTTCAATTAATCAAGAATTATTATTTGAGCTAGTGGTCTAGTGAGAAGTTGTACACGTTTAGGGTTATCTTTCACTCTCATATGGTTATCAAGTAGGATTTGATTCACAGAAATAACATGATTTGCTACTTGATTTTGGTGGTGTTGTAGTGATAGATTGTCTTTCCGAGTTAGTAGTTATGGTTTAAATCGGACATTTTACAGTGGAGGATCCTCGTGATCATGTCCAATAAAAGTTATTAACTATTGGCCTACTTTCGGGCCAAAAAAAGAAAAAAATTAACCAAGAATTACATGCGTCTAAAACAATTATGTTCAGTTGTTGTTAGGAGAGAAAATGTGAGAATTTGAGTGGAAATTTATCGAGAAGCTAAAATTATAGGTCATAACCTAACATGAATTTGCATTAGAGGTGGTCCATCCAGTCGTTTTGCATGCTTCAATTAGAGAGATGGAATGGGATGACATTAAGTGGGCCACTGACCAGCCCATGACACATGGTAGCATGAGGGTTGACAAGGGGAAACATTGAAAAAGTGCAACATTTCCCCCATTACAAATTGACTAGTAGAAGCTCATCTCCTTTCATGTGTGACCAGATAAAGTGGCATTAGTTGATAGAGTGTCGAGTCATGTAACGTGGGATTTATAATTGAGTTTGTATCGTATCACATATAAATCTTGCATATAAAGATTCATATTTTATGAAGTCAAATTCGCCTCATTTATTATGCAGGTATGATCCTCGACAGAGTTATAATTCAAATCCGTTACAATGAAGTTGTAACAAATTACATTTAGACTCCCTAAATAACATCTCTCATTTTATGTTATTCCTTAAATTATTCACTTTCTTATATTGCCTTAAATTATTAGTTCGAGTTTTATATTATCCTAATCATTCATTTTCATCTTACTTTTCAAGGCAAAATAGAATTTCATAATGTTAGAAGATATGTTTTTTCCCTTCTTAGTTTGGAGAAATTCCATTTTTCCTTAATATTTTTGGGGTTAAAATTGGATAGAAATTATCAATTGAGATGATGTGACATTTAAACTAACATTTTAAGGTGCATTATGAAGAACCCAATAATAAGATATGAGGTTGCACGGGTGAATTCTTGCAAAAATTTGAGATAATTGTACCATGGTGGAGATTGTGGAATTTGCTCTTGCAACAAAAAACAAGGTCAAAAGGGAGCTGAAGACGTGTCCGACTTATCTTCTCCGATGCCTAAGTTAGGAGGTGCTCAAAAGGAGGATAAAACTTTCATTGTGCTAGGTTGCTCCCGAATGTGTGCATGTGAATCAACTCATTGGGGATATTTATATCTTCTAATAAGGATGACGTAACACTAGGAGTCCCACCAAACCGACTAAGGAATCCTTCATAGGGGTAATCATCAATGAACTGTAATTCTCTCAAACCATGCACTTACTAAAACTGGGGATGTTGACCTTTTTTCGAGATCTAGATTTGTAATGATTATCATATTTAGGACACTGAATGCTTAATGCATGTCCTCTCAACATTTAATGACCTCTGCAGGACATTTACTGAGTTATGTCGAGCATTCATTGTGTTGACACTAAACATTTAGTTTACATGCCCTCAAAAAATTTAAGTTAGTAATGATCATACTTTTTATCTAATTTTTTTGAGATTTGAAATACATTTTGATGTAACATGTCTACAAAAAACAATCATTCGCTTTGACCCATTGCGTTATGATAGATCCATATCCTTGCCTAACGTTAAATACTCGGCTCTTGGGTACACTTTTTGCCCTTCGAATGTTGGGCATGTTCCTCCATGTTCTATCCGTGAGGCCATTCAATTCCCTCGGTCCGAGTATCATACTTTGATACAAGAATCGTTTCGTATACCAATAATATAAAATGATAGATTAAAAAATGAAATTTTGCCAGATTAAGTTTTTTTTTGAACAGTGCCGTATTTATTAGATACCCAACCTGATTCGGTGGTATATGTGCATGCCTTTGTCCAAAAACATGAGTCGGTCTTTAGAATGGACAATGCGGGTCAGCCCAATTTGCAGCTTCACACCAAGACAGCCAACATGTAGAACTTGGTGGTGGGCAACCCCACTGCCATCCCTGAAAATGTGGGCCCAATTGCCTCCTATCCTAATAAAAGCATTTGAAGAGTCAGTTTGTGAGGGTGGGGTGCTTTGCATTTTCTGAAGGGGGCACATCACATTCTTGGTAAACCCACTGAATTATTGTACCCAAAGATGGACAATTTTGCAAAAAGCAGCATCTCTCTCTCCCTCTCTCTCTCAAACATCTACACTTGCCACTGCCCAATGGGGGGTTGAAACTTGAAAGTGGTGGACGAAAGCGAAAGGACACACTCCACATCAAACCCACGCAGATATATTGCTTTCTCTGTATAAAAGATTTCTTGCTCTGTATATATTGGGCATCTTTCTGTGACTCTCACACACACGAACACGCTCTTTGCTCTTATTCAATTGGTGGTTGAAGATGCCTAGGCCAGGTCCGAGGCCTTATGAGTGTGGTCGAAGAGCTTGGCACAGCGATAGACACCAACCCATGAGAGGTTCGATCATTCAACAAATTTTCAGGTACTGTATGAGCTTGTTTGTTTAATGGTGGTCTTTCGTCTTCGTTTTCTCAATGCCCACCATATGTTTGATCAGGGTCGTCCGTGAGAGGCACAGTACTGCAACTAAAAACAACGAAGAATGGCAAGAGAAACTCCCTATTGTTGTCTTGAAAGCTGAGGAAATCATGTACTCCAAAGCCAATTCAGAGGTTGCTCTTCTTCATTACAGTTAATGCTAGTGTGGTGTGACTTAGATTTCTTTGTTCTTTTGTTATTTACTGAGAGTTATTCGGTTCAATTTTTTTTTGTATTGATCAGGCTGACTACATGGATCTTGTAACACTATGGGACCGGGTTAATGACGCCATTAATACAATCATTCGGATAGATGAGAGTATGGAAACTGGAGGGCTTCTGCCACCGTGTGTTGAAGGTACACATTGCACATTCTTGGTTTTAACATTTAACCATGAAAACATGCTACTCGGCTGTCCTTATCGTTGCACATTGAGCTAAAATTCACTGGGATGTTCTCATTTTGATAGTATATCAGTTCAGCTCAATGCCGTTTTAGTTCTCAATTAGTTTGACATGGATTTATAATATTTGTCTGTTTTCCTCTCGTCACAATTATGTTCAGCTGCCCTCAATCTGGGTTGTGTTCCAATTAGAGCATCCCGAAGCCAACAGCAGAGTAATCCCAGAACTTATCTCAACCCAAGAACTCAAGAACCTGGTTGTGTACCTCCTAGAACTTGGGATAACGAAATGAATGAGCAAAACCATACTATTGGCAATCAACAAACCCTTTCAAGACGCGTGTCAGAATCCAACCTAAATGTAATGCCAGATAAATATAATCGAACTGTTTCCCATAATTTTCCTTCGTCAGCTGAGCTTTTTTCTCACCCTGCCCCTAATCTGTTTGTCCCACCTGAAACCCTCACCTCCCTGAATGTGGGTTCAGTTTACCCCTTGTATTATGGTCCTCACTTTCAACCTGAAGTCCCCTGGATGGGCTCCCAGATTGCAGAAAATTTACACCCCATAATTGTCGGCACACCAGTTTTTCCATCCACTGCAAAGCCTGCTGAAATGGGTTGCTTGCGGAACCTGTTCTCTTATGATGGGGATGCAGATGCTGCAAACAGAGCAACTCAAGTAGATATCAGAGACAACCATGAAAAGCCAACTGAGATGGGGTGTGATTTGTCATTGCGGTTGGGAACATCTTTAGAATCATGCATGAGTAGGGGAAAAGGTTTGGGTCATGAAATTGATGGTGGTGGTCCAAGCAGTTCTCAAGAGGAGGGAAAGGTTGGCAATTTATCTCCTCGTCAAAACAAGGGGTTTTCATTCTTTCCGGTGGACACTACTAATGATCCCTTTCAGATCAATAGACGTAAGTTAAATTTTGACGTTGAAGGTCAGACTGTAGAAGCAGCTGTTAGGAAGCGTAAGGTGCCCTTTGAAGCCAATGTGGAGGATAGGCAATTTTCTGGCAATTGAAGCCCACTTCCAACCAATTTTCTGGTCGATGAAAAAGGTCAAGTAGTTTGTAGATCATCGCCTTTCTTTGTACAAAATATTTTGAGACAAAAAAAAAAAAAATCTGAGGTGCCTCAGTACTTTCTTTGAGGCCCTTTATGCGGCTTTTTTTGGCAATCTTTTTGGTTATAAACTTTCAAATGGGTTGATTAGTTGCAAGTTGCAATAGTGTCAAAAGGCAAGTTATGTATTGATATTGTGAGTCATGCTGAAACGGAATTGGGACTTCAATCTTATTAGGAGTGTAAACCTACTGGGGTCATCCATCTAGTGATCTAGGACAATAGAGTGGGAAGAAGGGAGCAGAAAAGAAAGTAAAGAGAAATAAGTTGAATTGTATATACAACATATGAAATCTAAGAAACAACAACAGTGGATGGGTGTAAAATCCTGAACTAAAGAGAACTGCTCTGAATTCTGGTTAGACCAGTCTACAGCATTCGAAAGTGTTAGGGTCTCCACTGAATTATGCCCATATAAACCTTTGAATTAATGCCACTTACATTCTTTTTGCTACATTATTAAATAGAGATTATTTATTTTTACATCTATAGTATTCAGGAAGCATGTTTGGAATAAAGACTAAATGAGAATTTACAATCACCGAAGGAAATAGCAGAATGCACTGTGAGAGAATAGGAGTCTCCTCTGCTGTCACATTTTATTTCATTTGTGGGAAAATGAAAGTTAATGCTGATGTCACATTTTATATTCATTCCTTGCCTTCACATCCACCCTGTGTCTTGTAGGAAATACTTTATCATGTTACTTGTCCTTTATGCGGCAGTCACTCCTCATTGAAGGAATTGGTTTCCTTATCCAAATTTACATGCTTGTAGTAAAATAGCATACCATAGTTAGAATTAGCCTTGGTTTTTGTTAAATGTTATGGCTATGAATCAACTTACTAAGAAAACTGTACCATGCATCAGCTCTTTCAATTTTGATTTGAATTCCCGTCCTCAGTTTAAATGTTCTGCATGATGTAGTTCGGAGAAAGAAAGCTGTGATTATGGATAGTCTCTCGAAAACCAAGTTTGTTCCTGATTCTGTTTCTATTGGTTTTTAACGATGTGGTTAGGAGAATTCATGCCGTAGGGGACTTTTTCTTTATGTGTATAATCGATTTCTGTATGATCACTGAACATAGCAACTAAGAGTCTCATTCTGGCCTACCCCAAAATCCATTTCTTCTTTTTCGGATACCTATAGTAATATTACTTGATGTTGTATGCTAAAATGTGCCACATCTCCAGTTTCTTTTTTGAAGTGATATCCTACCGACTAGCACACCACATTGGGATTTGGATATTCTAAAGCAATAGTGTATGTAATAACAGTGCAACTGTTAGAAGTAATTTAGAAGTACTTTTGCTTAAAACCTGGGGAGGATCGCCCTAGCCTAATTCTATCACACCGGGCTATTTATACATTTGAAACTCAAGAGGAACTCTTCTCCAGGAACTTAGACTAGAATGCAAAATGACTATGCTTATATAGAAGCACCCATATGGATTCAACCCCAACCTCTGCCCTCCTTCCCATAGGAATTAAGAAGTTTATAGCTGACCATAGTTACTGTGAACATCATCGGTGGTCAAACCCATAGCAATTTCAGCTCTCTCAGATTTTCTTCCCTAAACTATGTGGCATGCTTTCTGATGGAAAATTTGTCTGATATCTTTAGACTCTTCTTGAGGTAATGATATTGTAAGTATAAGTTTCAAAAAGTTCACCACAAAAATCCAACTAGGCATGAATTGAGTTGAAATTTGAGAAAAATCATGTGTTGTTTATACTGGTGTAGAAGTTGTTCAATGGTCACATACTCCTATATGCAATTTTCCATCAAGTATTCTCAGTGGTAGTCTATCTGAACTCCATGTTTTCAGCTTTACTATTAGAGAGCACACTTATTCTAGCCTTGCTAGTGCAAGGAAAAAGAGATTCAACAATCATTTAGCTCTGTGGACGTGTCTGCGCCTATGCACACTTCTATGTAGCAGTTCGAAATATTAGATTTCACATTATTCTTTCTCCAATTAGGTCTGCCAATGGATTGTTGTGTTCAAAATATACTCAACCCATACCAACCCATTCATAACCGTGTATAGCAGTCGGGTTTAGCGGGTTTGTGTCGTATTTAGTTGGGTCCGTTGAACTCATTTGTTAAAGGAGTCTACGAGGTTAATCAGTTTACCATCCGAGCATGCTAAAGTTGAATTCAATTTTACAAAATTAGTCAATTCATATCATGTTTAGAGTTGACCCAATTTCTGAATGTATAGCATAACCATTGGCTTAAAATTCCCCCCGCCCCCCCTTCTTTTTTCTTGTTATGTATGAGAACTGCGTGGGCTTCTTCTTTTGCGCAATCAATTTCAGTGTTGATTATTGCGTGTCAACATTATTCTGACTAATTTCTCATTAGTTTTTTTGACCAATTGGCAATTCCACAAGTATACCTGAATTAGTAAGTTTGACTAATTATGGCATTCATATTGTGCGTTGTTCGGATATAATATTGAGTGAAATTGGGATGATTAGTTACGAGATTAATTTATCGTTGAAAAGACGAAAGCACTCATTTTGAATATGAACACTAATTAGGTTCCTGCAATAGCTGCATATTGTTTTAAGACTAACTATTCTAGTATATTGATACTTCGGGGTGTTAAAATATGACAAGACTCGTTAATACGATATGAAATTAAATGGTTTTAGTTTTTTTTAAGTTATCCGTTTTGTAAACGAGTGGACTCGATTTAACATTATTAATAAACAAATTGAGTGTGAGTGAATTCAATTAAAAGAAATATATGATACGACTCGTTTATATATTGGTTATATAAAATACAACAAAAACTCATATGACATGATTTATTAGACACAAATTAATGAACGAATTAGGTATGGTTGTAGTGTGCTTTTTAACACAAATCTATTAAAATTCGACACAAATTTATCTCACCCGACGACTGATCGACTTAATTGATAGGAGCAATTACACTGAAACCTTCTGAAGTTTGTCACTTAATTACTCAGACCCTTTGATATTTAAAATATTACACACAGACCCCCTAAAGTTTGTGCGCACGTAACACTTAAATTTTTGCTGTCAATGTCTGCTAGTATATCCATTAGTAAATTATATCTAGACCCTTTGAAATTTGTAGGCATGTAATATTTAGACCCCTCAAATTTAAAATATTATACTTAGACCAAAATTATTCCAATCAAATATACCATATCAAATATTTTAAATTTTACGACTAAAATTTATATTCTGTTATGATATTTATTAAAATAAAATCAAAAATAAAAATCTATTTTTTTCTTAAAAAATTATAATTAACATAAAATTATACTGTCTATTATAGTTTGACCCTTGTTTATTTTTTAGTTTTATTCCAATAGATAGTATAATTGTATACTAATTATGATTTTTTTTAAAAAAGATTATATTTATATTTTTGAGTTTATTTCAATAAATGATACAATAAAATATTAATTTTGTTTGTAAAATTTAAAATATTTGATATTTTATTTTTGATTATAATATTTTTGATCTAAATATTATATTTTAAATTTAAGGAATCAAACTATTATATACTTATAAATTTCAGAAAGTCTGACGCTAATCATACCTTCTTCTAGAATACATTCAGAAAATTCCACATGAGCTCATTTGTTTCAAATCGGGCGTCTGCCCAACAACCTTACCGATTGTAAATCTTTGACTACGACGACTCTAATTTTATTATTATTTTTTGTCTAATGTTATCTTGGGGACCCACTAATTGCAATTTTCCTTGGGTTGCTCCTAATAATAAAAATGAAATATTCCTTTGGATTTTGTATTGTTTACTTTTGTAATTGTAAACCTTTGTTCGCTCGTGACTCTTCTCTTGTTTGGTTGTTTTTTTTCTAACGTGAGAAAAAGTGTTGACCTTTTACACTTTCTTTCTTAACGCGTTAAAAGCTGGGTTGGGCTGGTGACTGAAAGGTATTTTGTTTTTAGGTGTGAGAAGACTGTGTACAATCAAAGTGGTTCCTTAAATGCTAATGATGCATTTAGTCAAATCATCCGCGTTGGCTCTAAGCGTAGGCCATTAAAAGCTATCGCCCGATTTAGGGTCCCAAATTTTTTTTCAGCACTTCTAATTTTCAGATAATTTTAGGTACGAAAGTGCAAACCTAATGAGAAATTGATATGAAAATAAAGAAATTTGGGTTTAGTGTTGGGTGATACGAGTGATAAATAAATAAATTTGTTAAGTCTCTCAAATAAATGGGTTAATATAAATTTAATTAAACACAAAATAAATCTACTAAACACGACTTATATTATATAATACAAATTTGATTGTACAAGATTATAAATAGAATAACTATAAATTGAGTCAATTTTGATGCGACACAACTGCATATTTTTTTTATTATCTTTGTTTTTTCAATCTTATCTATTTTTTATGTAAATATTAAAAAGATGAGTTATCCCAACGTATACTATATTATGTTAAGTGAGACTTCTGTCATGTTTCGTCTTCTTGAAAATTCAATCCCTTGAATCTTCAAGGAACATTCTTGAACATACAAAGAATATAAAGAGAGGCCTAAAATATTTTTATATAATTAAAAGATTAAATATGTGCATAGAAGATTCTAGAAATATCATAAATTTATAACATTTGACAATATTATAGTCATTCATGGAAAGACGAAAGATCTATAAATAGGTGGGAGGTTTCATTTGCAAGAACGAAGCAACCGTGTCTTAACTTAAATTCGAAGCCTTTTTTGGTTTGTGTCAAAGATTTTATTTATTTTTTACAACACACTAAATAAGTAAAAAATTAAATTGGGTTGGGGTATTTTATTATTAAAAATCCTACTAACATTCATCATTTGAAAAATTATTTTGATAATTAATTCTTTTTCTTTATATTTTTAACTGATAACAAACTTTATTATTTTTTGGTCTATAAATTCAACTTCAATTAGTGAAACTATATATAAAAAATTGAATGCAAAAGTTAAAGCTGAATTTGTATTTTTGCATATCAAAAATAAGAAAATATTTTCTAAATAAATAATATTAATATTTAAATAATTATTTTGTCATGGGTCTCATATAATATTTTTGCTTAGGATTCAAATTTAGGTTGAACTGCCCTGCAAATCATAAACAGTTTCAAGCATAGTTAGTAAATTTTATTGGAGAGCAAAACTTTTCATCGGTAACCATGGCAAATGTTGACTCTTTGAAGTTTATCATTAAATCAAATAGACCACCTCAAAAATAAATAATAACACTATATTCCCTAGGGGTGTGGATGATTGGGTTAGATTGAATTTGAATCCGAATCCAATTTAACGCAATGCAAAATAGTCCAATTTTTAGGATTCCTAATGTAATGTATCCAATCATATTACATCTTTGGATAAAAATCATTTGGTTTGTGGACCTCATTCACATGTGAAGATAAAAGATACTAAAATGACTATTACACTCCTTTGTAAATAAATGTAATTCAATCATATACCACGTTTAGATTGAAATGATGTCAATCAAATCCAATAATATTGTCTAAGTTTTGGAAAAAAAATTTGATTCAATAAATTACGATTTTTTACAACACATTGCCGAAAATATGTTTATAATTTTTTAATTTAATTTGTACAGTACACAATTCATCACAAAAATCTTTTGCAGCATGCATAAAAAAAATATACAACACAAACGCATAATTATAATCTGAAAATTATGCTTGTAAATAAAAAAAAAATGACAATGCTAGACAATAGGTCGTTATTATACATATGTTTATACATCACATACAAATTGCTTATTTGAAAACTCTCCACGACAAAATATGGCACGGAGACCTTCCACAACAATTATTATTGCTTTGGATTGGTCCTTGTAGCAAATAATATTGAAGTGACAGCATATCTGCAAAGAATGGTCAAGAAAATTTCAAACAATATGTAAAAAAATGAGATCTTGCTTGAAAATAGGTCCATAACCAAGAAATTCGATTTAGAAGTGGTAAAAATACATAATTACAATCAAAACTGAAGCAACACTAAATTTAGAACCCCACTTTACCTTTTATCACTTTGAAAACGTGACTTTCTCAACTACAAAATTCAGAACCCGATTTCATTTCAGTATCCCTAATGCTGCCCACTATATATTTCACCATATATATTTCACCATAAAAATTTTAGCTTGTATCAACAATACATATATTTTACCACCATAACCTAAAAGGCTAGTAATTTTATCAACACCCAATCAACCAATCCACTAGCCGTGCAGCAAAAAACATCTTATATTCGAAATCTGTAGCATAGTCATAGCAAGTGACTTCAAATAAAAAAGGATTGTAAATTTGTTGACGAAAAGATGGCATCTTAAGTAACTTCAATTCTTGCGCGACTGTTGGGTGTTGTGTGTAATACGTGAAAAACAAAATTAAAGCAACAAAGGAATATTCAATTACCTTTAAGCAGATCCGATCGGTGCGGAAGCTTATCCATGATCGCTTTGTGCCCTCAAATTTGGGTTTGCTTCTTTCAGGCATTTTAACAAATAGTTGATATGCAAGGTGGGGCTGTAGAAGGGGCCAATAGTGGTGGGCTGTGGTTGAAGAGAAAATATACTTCTCGGAGCCACATGTTATCTAAAATAATTACTCAAAATATATTTAATATTATATTATTTATTTTAATTAACTATTTTTTCAAATTCACTCCGACCACGATATCTATTTTAACTAATCACGTTATCTATTTTAACTAACTTTTAATAATAAAATTCAAAAAATAACAATTCGATTACACATTGTATAAAAGAGTAAATATCATAAAATAAGAGCTCACATCGTACTTAACAAAACAATGATATACCCTCGTCAAAATCACCTCCTGATTCACAGAGCTTCAAAGCCGATTGAGAGATAGAGAGAGTGAGATCGATTGTGAAAACCCCAAATCAGGAGCCGCAAAAACAGAATCCACCTCTGGAAAACCTCAGAAAACCCACCTCCGTTGAAGTCGAACACGTCACAGAACCCACCTCCTGAAAACCCCAAATTTTATTTTTTGTGATCAAAATCGATGGAGTTTATGTGAGTGAGAGAGAGACAGAGAGATAGAGAGCATACCAGACCTGTGATCCAAGCCTTGATGAAGGCGATCTGTGATGAATACCCAAATACCCGAATCTGTGATGAAGACGATGCTGATGAATACTTAAATAGCTAGCTTTCTTCTCTCGCCAGATCCAGCGAACCAATATAGGAAAATGGGTAATACCAAGTGTGATAGCTAGCCAGTAGGAGACAAAATTTATGGATTGACTATCTAAAATAGCTAACAAGCCGAGTTTAGCTATCCCGTTGAAGTTGCTCTTAGTGTCTATAGTTAGATGACGTGGCGTTTTTGTTGGCATCCAAAGAGGGACGAAATCAACATCGGCGTATGGCATCGATGGTGCACTGCAATGGCGTCGAACAGTGGTGTTGTGTCGACTGGTAGTAGCTGTGTGGTAGAAAGATGAGAGATAATAGAGAGAGAAGGAAGAGGGGCGAGAACTTGGTCAAGACACGGAGATAGAGTTTATGTACTGTTCAAGGGTGTTTATGTAATTTCAGAACTTAACCCCTTCACTACATTCAGAATCCCACCATTCACATGGGTTGACATAATCCGGCATGGAGAGGATTATCTCCTCAAAACACTACGACCGATTTTTTGAATTCCACCGAGTATCCCTTCCCAATTTTAAGTGGGCTCATTTCATTATTTTAACCTAATCCCACCTTTAATTCTGTCAAACAAACACCAGTTTTAATCAAATAGACCCCACGGGTATAAAAAATAACACTATATTCCCTTGAAGTTTGGTCTCGTTGAAGGATAGTTAAACTTTATTGACATTAGCGTTTTTTTATCACTAAATTCCCAAACTCTCCATGAAATCCATCACGAATAAAACAAAAACCCAATAATTTCTAAAACTTCATAATCCCTCTCAAGATCAGTAACTAGTTTAACTCACACCTTAATTAAGCAATTAAATACAATAATTAACATTATTTATCTTTTTAGGTTACTACTCATTTTAATTAAAATCCTAATTAAATCAATACCTTAAACCTAATCACTTGCCATCAATTAAGGCAAAATTTTGTAAATTCAAGTCAAATACAATCCACAAAATTAGTTAAGCAAATTTTATTTACAAATGTAACCTCATTGGATCAACTCCAAACCCACCAAGTGAGGCACCACAATCCACTAGTTGCACCGCCCCTGCACAACCGCAACACATCATAATATAAATGCACCAGCCTTCAACCACCCACCTCCCTTTCACTGACCTCACCTCCCGCCTTTCTTCCCCACCCACACCTCCATCACCACCATTGTCGCAAACAATGCACACGTGATGGTCTCTTCACCTATAACCCAACAATCAACCACCAGAGTCAACTAGTAACGCATAAACCAAGCCAGATTAGTGGATTCAGAGAGAGAGTAAGAGAAGGAGGGAGAATTTTGGATTTAGGTTTGTTGACGATTCACAATAGAGGATGGGAAGGTGGCGATTCACGATTCAATTCAATCTAAAGTAACGAGAGAGATCAACTGCAATGCCACAACCACCACCATACCCCAAAATCACAACCCACTCTACCACCTAAAACCATATTCTATAAATCCACAATGCCCAACACCCCCAACCCATCCATCCGAAACCTACCACCCCAAAAGCCATGTCCATTAAATCAATTTGCAGACCTTTAGGGATTTTTCAGACATCTTGTTCTCGGATCCTTAGAGATCTATTGATGGCCAGTAATTCCATCTTCTATCAAGATTTTCTCTCAACTGGGGTTCTTGTGGTGAGTTTGGTGGTGGCCTCGGCAGTGCCGATGGTGGAGATAAACTAAGAGAGGGGCATAGGGGAGGATGGGAACGGGTCTAGCGATGGTGTAGAGGTAGGTCAGATAGAGATTATATTTGGGGTCCTATTTCATGGGTTTATGTTTAATTTTGAGTTTGGGTTTGGTATTGTCTCGGATATATGGGCTTTATACGGTTTTTGCACTTTTTTGGATTTGGGTTAGATGGTTTGTTTTTTTTTTAAGAGGGCAAAAGAGTCATTTCAAAACTTTTGTTACATCCGTCAGTGCACCCTTATTGATGAGGGCTATTAATATAATATGTCAGGAGTCTATGTAATTAAATAATAAATCTCAAATGATTCAAATATAATTTATGCATACTATTAATGAATAATATTTGAAATTGGGATAATCACTTGTAAGTCACCTTCGTTGAATCGGCTCGAAGATACATGTTGTAAAGAAGCAAATAGTGGCGTAGGATAAGGGTTATGTTTTCCTTGTAGTTAGATAGTTGTATAAATGTTTAATTTTTGATTCTAATGAGACAAAAAGAAAAAATCAACCAAAGACATATTTTATGAAACTCGAATTTAAGAAACTCAAAAAAGTGTTAGTCATTAAAAGCTTGTTATCTGTACAATCTTGTCAGGTCAACAGATAATTCATTGTTAATGAGAAAATATTAAAGATTAGCAAATCTACTACTACCAAGTTCTAGTAATAGTTTATTGTTGTTGATGACAGTCAAGGCAAACGTTGATCAATTCTAGGAGACACTATGGCATTTTTAATTAGGTTTGCATATCCAAACGAGACACAAGGTCAAAGTCTTCTATGCCCGTGAATAAATTACTTTTCAGTTGTCCGTATTTTCCGTCAATTTCTTGGGGGCCATCCACGTTTTCCGGTCTTCGAAAGAAAGAGAGACAAGACAGAGTGATAAGGGGGAGGCTTCCCCGATAAGAATAGTCAATAAACCCGTTTTACAGGAGCTGTCATGATCGACAACAGGGTCGACGCCGTGGCACAACCACTCATCTTTTCTTAGAAAAAAGTTTAATATTTTTCTTTTAGTATAAAAATATGATAGGTTTTGGACTCTGAGATTGTTTTGTAAAATTCGATATAGGTGTAATTACACATAAGGCATGTGCACCTCATCGGGTTTAGGTTTTTCTTTGATTCTATGAAAAAATGCGTCATTGTGATTATTAAAAATAGTATATGATTCATATTCAGAGTACAAAACGAGTCTGTTACACTTTTAATATGTAATAAATAATTAGAATGGTTAAACGGCCTGGTCAAATTGAAAGCTACATTTTTTCTAATGCATTTATGAATCCAACCATCAACACCAAGACAACATGTGACACATTTTCTTCTGGTTGGTTGGTGCTTGAAAACACATCAATCAATGGGTGGAAAAACTATCATCAAGGACATACTATGACCATCAGTATGAGTTTTGCGTTACGTTAGTCTTCATTTTTATTTGTTTCAATTTATTCCCTAATTTTTTAATTTATATCATTTTTTTTCCGGTAAAAATTATCCATTTTTTGTAGAAGAACCTTATTTGGTTCAATCAAAAATGATTCTATTATTTCAATGTCTGCAATTCAATATACATGAATATATATAATATATATGTCTCTCTTATTTTTATTTTTCCGATACAATTCAAAACATTTGAATGGTCGATTATTTGTTTTTTCATCTTAACATCGATCTTTACAAATGTGAATTTGAATTCAATTTTGTACTAAATTTGAATATGATTTGCCTGCAACCAATTTCCATGATGTTTGCGGACGGATTAATGACATCAAAACTAAAAATTCGGCCGTATAAGCTGACTAATTGAGTCAAAAATTGTAATTTCGGTTGAATAACAAAATGGGAGTCGTATAAATATCAATATATGAGTGCAAAGATTATTGTCACAATACTAATAATAATAATAGCTGCAGTACAAAAAATCCAGCTTTATGGATGGTATAAAACAAAACACAATCTGTGTAACAAGCTGAAAATCAAATCGAATCAAATGGAACTACATAAAATTCTGTATCAGTAACTAATACAGGAAAGCTATGGCAACGGACAAGATGGTGAGTGGCAAGGTGGCGACAGCCACAGATGGTGCTGAGTTTCCAGGTGGTGGTGGTGGAGGACTGAGACTTCCAGTTGGAGACGGCGATGGGGGGGTGGCGGAGCCTGACGGAGTGGGGGAGGAACCCGAGGGAGCGGGGGCGGAGCCGGAGGGAGCGGGGGCGGCGGCGGTGCCAGTGACGTTGATGGCTAGCTTTTGGCCCAAGGAGCAGTGGCTGGGGAAGGTGCATATGTAGAAATGTTCGCCAGGGGCGGTGAGGGTGATCCTCGCCGGGCCGGCGGTTATGGTGGAGATGGGGGCGGTGGTGTTGCAAGGTTCAAAAGCTGCCTTCCTTACCTCCGCAACGTCGTGTGTTCCGGTGGTAAAGTTGAAAACTGCAATAGAAAACCAAATATATAAATCATTAGACAAGATGGTTTTGTAAAATTTTATTTATTTAATATTATCTAGTTTCTAAGTCAAATTTTCTCTTTTCCATTTTTAGGTTCAATTGTAAAGGATGGTGGAACTAATTTATACGCATTTCAATTAATTATCTCCCCAGTTCAATTAAAAGTAAATCATTTACACTAAAATTAAAGTATTTATAAAAAATAAATTTCTCGTGATATGATCCTAAAGAATTACCAAAATTTACCCTCGTTACCACTTGAATTATCCTTAAAGCTTCAAAATTTTCTTTTTAATAACTAGTGCAAAAGAGTTCCATGAAATTTAAAAGAAAGGATACAAGGTTTTTTTTTTAATCTAAATTATAGTTTAAAATTATCCGTGTATGGATGATTTTCCAAGTCTTGATAAACCACATATGATAAATAGGTTTGTAATTGAAAGCATGGTTGTGATGGGGGGTCTAATTTTTACAAGAGAAAAAATAATAAGGAATCACAATCAATTCTTATCATGAAACCAATATTGTCAAAGGTATTTAAAATATACAAATTTTTGTTAAGGTTATAAAACATGGTATCATCAAATGAAATAAAAAGACGGTACATTGAAAATACGCTTTTTAGCATGAATAACCACAAAAAATAATGTGACAATTGACATTTGTTTTATAAATATATTTTTTTAAATAAAAAAATATTAATGGGTTATATCAAGTGATTATAGAAAAAAAAACATTACTAAACATTAAAATGCATATATTGTTCCCATTTTAAAAAAAAAAATAAAGTCTAGTCTTTACCTAGAGTGTCTCCGACCCGGAAGGTCTTATTGAAGGCCCAAGTTTGGTAGGCTATGGGCCCACCAGGAGGGACAGTCCAACCCAAGCCATCTCCCACAACATAAATCATCGGACCAGAAGCTGGTGATGGTACTGGTACTGGCGTAGCCACCGGCGAAGGTGTTGGTGGAGGTGTTGACATAGGTGGAGAAGCGGCGGGAGATGGCGTAGCCGCTGGTGGAGGAGTGGCTGGGGCTGGTGTAGCCACTGGTGGAGGCATGGCGGGTTGAGGAGCTGGAGAACTGGAGGCAGCAGAGACATTGATAGCCAACATTTGTCCCAACCCACAGTGCCCTGGAAAGGTGCAAATGTAATAGTGCTCGCCGGAAGAGTTCAATGGGATGGTGGCCGGCCCGGCGGTGGAGATGGAGATCGGACTGTTGGTGTTGCAGGAACTGAAATCACCTCTTCTCACCTCTGCTACGTTGTGGTTTCCGGTGGTGAAGTTGAAAACTGCATATACAACATTAATCAAATTAGCCACTATCCAAACTAACTATAATATCATCACTACTATATCAGTTGAGATATTTGTAGATCGAGTAGCAAATGAATCAAATCAAGTTGAACATTAGACTGTTTAGAATTTGGTCGTTCATTCACAAAAAAGGGTCTAGTTTAGTTTGAAATTATGACCAAGTTTCAAATATCTTATTCAATCTTAAGTTAATTATTATTAATCTTTGGACTAATTTCACTTTACACTTTAAAAGATATTTCTCTCAAACATTAAAAATTTTATTTTTTGTCATAAATTAAATTACATGAATTACAAATCAACACTACACAACTCGACCCTTTTGCAGCCTAATACTTAATTTATAGTATAGTTATGGAATAGATGTTTGATATAATCATAAATCATATAGAAGGGATGTGGTAATTACCGAGAGTGTCACCAACTCTAAAGGTTTGCCTGGAAGCCCAGGTGCGGTAAGCGATGGATCCACCGGGTGGGACGACCCAACCCAAGGCATCACCAACTACATGTGTAGTCTGTGCCTTTGAGCTTTGTAGCAAAGCAGCTGCTACTAACACCATAAACACAACCATATTGGATCTTCTTCTTGCCATATTTCCTTGTGTTCTTAAAGCACCTCAGGTCGCCCCCGCTAGCGGTGTGCGGTGGTGGTGGTTGAGGGACAAGGGTTTGAGTTTGAAGGCAAAT